CTCTATCTATCTATCTATCTATCTATCTATCTATCTATCTATCTATCTATCTATCTATCCACCCCCACACACACTCTCTATCTATCTATCTATCTATCTATCTATCTATCTATCTATCTATCTATCTATCTATCCACCCCCACACACACTCTCTATCTATCTATCTATCTATCTATCTATCTATCTATCTATCTATCTATCTATCTATCCACCCCCACACACACTCTCTATCTATCTATCTATCTATCTATCTATCTATCTATCTATCTATCTATCTATCTATCCACCCCCACACACACTCTCTATCTATCTATCTATCTATCTATCTATCTATCTATCTATCTATCTATCTATCTATCCACCCCCACACACACTCTCTATCTATCTATCTATCTATCTATCTATCTATCTATCTATCTATCTATCTATCTATCCACCCCCACACACACTCTCTATCTATCTATCTATCTATCTATCTATCTATCTATCTATCTATCTATCTATCTATCCACCCCCACACACACTCTCTATCTATCTATCTATCTATCTATCTATCTATCTATCTATCTATCTATCTATCTATCCACCCCCACACACACTCTCTATCTATCTATCTATCTATCTATCTATCTATCTATCTATCTATCTATCTATCTATCCACCCCCACACACACTCTCTATCTATCTATCTATCTATCTATCTATCTATCTATCTATCTATCTATCTATCTATCCACCCCCACACACACTCTCTATCTATCTATCTATCTATCTATCTATCTATCTATCTATCTATCTATCTATCTATCCACCCCCACACACACTCTCTATCTATCTATCTATCTATCTATCTATCTATCTATCTATCTATCTATCTATCTATCTATCTATCTATCTATCTCCACCCCCACCCCCCCACACACATCTGTCTATCTCTCATCTAACCTCTTGCTCTCAGGGTGCCTGTGCTGAGGGTAGGACAGATTTTTACTGGGGGGCGGGGGCTCATGCTTCCTTCCCACTCTGTGTCTCCCTCCTCCCTGTGCAGGGGTTCCTGAGACAAACTCCCTGCCCTGCCCTCTCCCTTATCGCTCTGCCCAGGCCTGTTGGCGTCTGTCACGTTCTTCTGGGTCATTTCCCATCTTGACCAGTTACCCTCCCCCACTGCCTGCCTACGTCACTCCTGTCCAGCCTCCCCTCCACTCCTTGGGCTCTTGTGGCCCTGCGGTCTTCGCCCGGCGCTGGTTTGTTTCCTGTCTCACACAGGTGGAACCGGATACCCAGCTGGGGGCTGAGGTTCAGAGGCAGAAGAGAGGAGGCAGAGCACAGCCTGGCTGCCAGCCCACCCAGCAAACAAGGGCCTCAGAGCCCAACACACCCTGGCCATGCTGCTCCAGTCGTACCTCCTACTCCTCGGGCGGGGGTGGCGGGATCCCCGGGGTACAACCTGGGACTGTGGGGCGCCCTGCCTCTTTCTCTCCAGCAGCGCTCGCCCAGGGACCGGCTGCTGCAGGAGAACGTCAGAGCCTGACACCTGGGCCTGGTGTAAAGCCTGAACTGGAGGCAGCAAGAGATGCTAAAGCAAACAGGCCCTGCCAGAAGCAGAGGTTTACCTGCCAGCTGGTGTGGGGCACAGGAACTCCTGGGGTTCACAGCCCCTCCTGCACCCTTGGGCGTGGGCCGTCTCCAGCCTGACAGGCCTGAATCAAGGTGTTTCTCTCCCCACTCGCTGTGCCAGGCAGCTCAGTTTTCAATGCACGGGCTGGATTCCCCCCTCAACCTGGGACCTATCTCCCCACCTCAAAGGGTACGGCTACACTGTGGTGGTGGGGGGTGGGGGAGGGCGGTTTCCAAAGAAGGTATGCAAATTGCACTTGCATTTGCATATCTTCTTCCTTTTTTTTTCTTTCCGGAAGAGGATTTTCCGATATTTGGCCCGTCTACGCGGGGCCAGCGGTCAGAAAAACCCTCTCTTTCAGCAGCCCCCTGATTCCTTGTAAAAGGGGACTCCCTTTGTGCAACACCCAGCAGAATGGAATCACAGTGGGGAGCCCAGGGGCGCCGAGGGCTGCTTTGGGGTACAGCAGAGGGCAGAGAGGTAAGAGCTGCCAAGTCGCACCGCAGCTTTCGCAGTGTGGCCACTGCTGTCCACCACAGACGTCACTGCCTCTCCGCAGGCTTCACCCTCAGGATACTGCTCATGTTTCTGTCTATCAAGAATAGGAACAACCTTTCCCTTGAGTTCTCTCCCCAGCTCTGGGAGGGGAGTGCGGGCTAGTGGTTAGAGCAGGTAGGGCTGTCTGGCAGACCTGTAGCAACCTCAGGCAAGGCAGGATCGTGGAGAACCACCAGAGTAACAATAGAACCCAGGAGACTTGGCTCCCAGCCCTGCCTGCTCTAACCACTAGTCCCCACTGCCCTCCTTCGTCACTTGCCCCAGAAAACTACAAGCCCCAGAATCCTTTGCTTCCTCCGCCCCCACCCTCCGAAGGGTCAGCCAATGGGCCTGCGCTGTTGTCAGATTGGCAGGGGGG